AAGGGTATAGTTTCTTAAAGAGAAAAGAAGCTATACTTACCTCTTGGACACTGCATATACCTACGAAAGGATTCCCTATGCCGTGTTGTCGTTATAGAGTAAATTAAGAAGGCTTTACCCTGTAACAGTACCATCTTCTCTTAAATTTTTAGAAAATATAAAATTAAATATGCCAGCATAATGTATTTTTGTGTGCTCATAAAGTTATAATCAATTAGTAAAGTTTTGAGAATCTTAATATTTTCTATAATTTTATTAATAAAAATACTAAAAAATGCTATAATTCTCAAAATTTTACTAATTGATTCTAACTTCATAAAATTTAAGAGAAGATGCTTGATTTTAGATATTTTGATCAAAAAATCCAAATTAAGTATCTTCTTTTAAATCTTCAAGAAATATAAAACTAAATATTCCAATATAATGTATTTTCATGTGCTGAACAAGGGTTATCCGGATAACTGTAGGGTTTATCCGGTTATCTGTAAATTAAAAACTGATAGTTATCCGGATACAAATTTGCAAAAAGGATATTGATAAACGGATAAACAGATATCCGGGTCCAAACTCTATGGTAGATAGTATTCAAGATTGCCGCTCCCATTGTTTAATTGTAAATTGACCGCCACTTTCAATGTAAAGATGTTTAAAAACCGAATATCGGTTTGATAAGAATATGAATTTGAGTTTTCACATTTCACACGTATCATACTTTCCACAAAAAGCACACTTCATATTTTACTGTTTTGATCATGATGTAGCCTCTGAAAATTATTTATACACTGCACAAAATCATAATTTATCAGTGTAAATCGTAAGAAAAGATTATTTTGTGTTAAAATATTGTGACGCCAAGATAACCGAACTGTCTTATCGTGCAAATCCAAAAACATGTAACATCCGAGTTATATATGCGGTTTTAGAGATAGCATAAAGTACCAATTAATTGTAACATACTATATCATGAGTTATCCGGAAAAGCATCAAACTACATAATACATATGACAACCTACTGAATATAAATTCGTTTGTTCATGCGACTAGTCTATTAATTATTTCAGTCTTTATTAAAAATCAATGACATTACAGTTATGCATATTCTGTATATGAAAATTTCGACTGTATACATTCTAATAAAATAATACACATTCTCTTCATAAAATGGTTATCTTTTTTTTTTTTTTTTTTTTTGTAATAGATTTTCAAATAATTATAGCCTGTTATTTTTTTTGTTCAATACAGTAATATAGTTATATGCTATTTTCTGATGATGAAAGACACCCGGGACAATTATGTATGACTTCGTGTATAAACGTGTCACATTCAATGCAAAAATGTTTCTTGCATTTGGGACAATTATATCTCCCGCTAGAATCTATTGATGTTATATTACTACTGCGTCCTTTCATAACTTGCGGTTGAGTTGGAAAAGGCATTTGGCATGAGAAGCAATGTGTCGTTAAAGCGCTATAATGGTCCGAAATTATATACATAAGAATTTTGATAATCAAATATTGTAACTTTAATAAATAAGACAAACCTGCTCCAAGGAACCTCTTCAAAATTTGCAACCGGAAATAAGTGATGATATGACCGTGCTAAATGAGGGCTTGACACTAAAGTCAATTCACATATTGGGCAATCGGTAGGCAAATCACATATTTTTGAATTACATCGAGCGCATAAATAACCACCAGAAACGGGCTTCGAATGGCTGTGCAATCAATACTACAAGTCTGTCAAAGGTCTCTTATCCCTTTAACGACATTTCGATATATACAAGCATAATCATACCAGGCGCAAAATGAGGGTACCGACTCAGTAACCCCCCTTGGAAATCCCATAACGACTAATTCTGATTTACTTTTGACAATAGATACTGGAGGTGGTGGTATTATTTCAAAAAGTAAATCTTTAAAATGTGCTTCGTTAAGAACAACCCCGTATGTCCCTAAAACGAAAAAACATGAACTTTGAATTAAATACATGAATCATAATCTAATCTATATAGATTTTTGTATAATTAATTACCTTTAGTTTTTTTACACATAATCTTACATATCTGAACTTCTGCTGCCAATCCGACAATCGAAACACGTATATTCTCTGTTACTAGGTTATCAATTGTTTCATTAATATCTCCAGGATCACACGACGTCAGGGATCCCATTATTATCAATATTTCTCGTGATCCATGAGCTGGAACATGACTAAGAAGGATTTAAAAGGTATCGGTAAAATAAATCATAAACAAGTGAATCTATAAATATAAATAATATGAATAATTACATCAATGAAGATCGTGCCATTTCTAACGCATTCTGTAAGGAAGGCTCACCATCCGTGTCAATGTTCCTTTTTTTTAAAACATTTATATTATCCATAGGATTACCTGCATTAATATGAGAAATTATGGATCATCTGAATGGTCATAAATCAAACCTATATAATAGCATAGTATATTTTTACCGGTCAACCCCATAAGTTTTTCTGCAACACCACTTTTTGAAACAATAACCCCAAGTTGACTTATAGGATTTTGATCAAAGAACTCTAAAATGAATTGTTCTGCATAAGATAGTGTTAAATCCAACCGAGAAGGTCGGAGATCCTTTTCCAGCATGGCTTCAGATAGATCTATGATCAGAAACATGTGTCTTATAATCCCACGTTTAATTATAGATGTATCACGTTCTAGCCTGTACGATCCAAATTTTTTGAAATTTTTGAGAATTATATTAATCGATATTAATATTGTTAAGTATTCCTGAAATTAGAAGCTCGAACCTCTTTCGTTTGCGATTTTGAAGATGTTCAACTGTATGTTTTAAACCTCCGTCTTCGTCCTCCTGTAAAACATCCCAGCTACGCTTGTACTCCTCCTCCCAAGCGTAACCAATCTGTTGGTTTGCATTCTGTGCTTCATCGTCGATGTCTATTAGTTCTTCTTTAGAATTTACTATCTTTGTCATTGTTTTAAATTGAATATTATATAATCGTATGTTTTCACTGTATCAGGTTTATAACCATCATTACAGTATTATGTAATATCTCAATCACGAGGAATGCGTAGAAGAATTGGTGTAACTACAGAACTATACAGATTTTGATTGGTCCGCAACGTGAGTGGAAGTTAAACCCATCGTTCGACATTCTTAATCAAAATTTATTAATAAAAAATGATTTTATTAGATTATCACAATGTTGTCATTGAAGAAACTTTAAGGCAGCCTATTGTGGGGTAAGTCTAAAAGTCATGTAGATGTTGATGCTAGTCCTATAAGCCAAAAAATGGTTGATAAAATGTTTTTTTTTTATTTTGTAGCCTTGAGCCCGCCGTACTGGATATGACAGTGGTCGATTTTGATGGTGTATCTTACCATATTTCTACACCACAATCGAAGAATATAATCAAATTTTCAATGCTAATGCAATGCTTCAAAGGACTTATCCAATGGGGAGCACAGGAAATGTTACAAAAAGAATATGGTGCTTATATTCTACCAGAGACTGAAAGTGGCTATGATTTTAGTCTAGAGTTTGATTTGCAGAAATTACCTGAGGATAAAGGTTGGTATTTCTAATTCATGGTCTGTCGCACAAGAATTCAAATTTAAATGGGTTTTACTTATGCGTATATAATGGCTATTTATCTTTCAGAGGAAAGAGAAGCACTTGTAAAAAATGTATCTTTAATCAAACGTAATCTTTTGGCTCAACCTTTTGAGCGGGCCTTCGAGCAGCAGGCTCAATATGAAGCTGAAGAGCAAACCAATCCCACACCTATCCTCATGCAAATTCACTACAGAGATCAAGAAACTATTTATATTCAAGCACTATATGATAGAGTTACCGTAATCTTTTCTACTTTGTTTAAGGAAGAAACAGATAGAATATTTGGAAGAGTGTTTTTGCAGGTATATAGAAAAATTCAAATATTTACTGTATTGTGTGATGCTTTAAGAGCGGTTACACCCTATGTAGATACATACTCAATTAAAATATTTGTCAGGAATTTGTTGATGCTCGTCGTCGACCAGCAATTCAAAAAGCCCCTCAAGTTCTTTATTCTAGTAAGGATCCTCCTCTGGAAATTAGACATTTATCTGAGCTACAAAACGAGGATGTTGGATATGTCACTTTTGGTAAAGTTCCTATACTTATTTGGCATCACATATTTTAAGTATAACGATAACACTAATAAATAAGTATATAGTCTTGTTCCCTCGCCATTTTGTTAAAGGCGAAGTGCGTGAAAAAACGATTTCCCAAATTCAGCTGTTTCGTGATTATCTTCATTATCACATCAAATGTTCCAAAGCCTATATGCATTCAAGAATGCGCGCACGTGTTCAAGCATTCTTGAAAGTACTAAACAGAGCAAAACCTGAATCACCTACCGTAGAGAAAAAGACGATCACGTTAGTTATATCTTTTTTTTATTTATCTGTCGATCGATTAAGTCTTTTATTAAGCTCTTCTTATTTATTTACTTATTTATTTAAATACAGCGGCAAGACTCTCGTAAGAGCTTAAGGGTAAAGGGTATTATTTGTAAATTATATATAAAATTAATTGTAAAAGTTTTTCTTAAAATTAACAGAAAATTTATTAAATAAATTATTATTAAATTTTTAATAAAAGTTGTAGAACAGATTTTCTGATTCTAATGGTAATAAATTTATTAAAATTGGTTAAATATTTGTTAGGAAGCTTATATTTAAAGATTGGATATTATAAATTGTTTATAAAAATCACGTAATGTTATATGATTTATACCAATTTAAGAATTCTGCAATATATACAGTTGACTCTTTACGTAGTTACCTTCTATATAATTATATCATATGTAATTATATTTTTATTTAGATCAACAATTATTATAAAACGCGCCTATGGTGTTTTGCACCTATGTATAATTTCTTTTAATAAAATTTAGGGTTAGGGTTAGGAAATTAAGAATTATTATTTTTTTTTATATAATATATTATAGAGCTAATATAAGGGCCCGATAGGGTCCGATCTCAGTTCTCGTGAGGTTTTTGGGGGTCCTGGACATTTTTACTTAGAGGACCCGATCCCGCTTACTTAGTACGTTACGGGACCTATGGTGTAAAAACACCATAGGTGCATTTTAGTAAAAGTGTAGATCAAAATATAATTTAGTTTATAAGAAAAAAATCTCTATATAAGCACAATTCTTTTATAAACATATTTTTTAAAAAATTTATTACATATTTAACTATATAATTGTATAGGAGAATAACTATATTCAGGGTTGCATGACCAGTCAAATGGTCAAGCTTGACCAGACCAATTTGACCAATTTGACCGGTTTGGTCAAAGAGTTTATACTAGTCAAATTGGTCAAATGGTTTGGCTAATCAAAAAAACAAACCATAGTAAACAGTAGAAATTGTCTTTGGAATTCGAAGTTTCTCAAAGAAAAACTTTTTCATTTACTAAGTAAACCTTTCTTTTCAACTTCTAAATAAAGTTGTAGAAGAGTGTCTTGTAATCAAAATGGTAGTTAAAACATTAAAATTGGCCTGGTGAAACACTAGATATCATAATATGTTTTTTTTTTATATAAATACTGTAAAGAAGAAAACATATAGTTATTAAGATTAAAATACTTATATCTCATGTTTCACTAGGCTGATTTTAACATTTTAACTACCATTTTGATTGCAAGACACTTCTCTACAACTTTACTTAGAAGTTGAAAAGAAGGTTTACTTAGTAAATAAAAAAGTTTTTCTTTAAAAAACTCTCAAGATAATAGTAAATATATATATATATATTTTAAATATTAAGGTGACCACTCATAGTCCCTGGCACTTTATTAGTTCAAGTGGATAGTCAATGTCTGAAGACATAGATCACATGTTATATCAGTATTACAAAAGTACAACTAGCCACACGTACAACTTTTGGTTGCCTAATTAAGTAGTTCATCTGAAGCATTAGTACTATGCTAAGAGTTTTATACTAGATATCATATCTATAGCCTAACTAGGAAGCTATCTAATTAAACTTTCTGGCTTTTACCGGTGCTATATGTTTTCTTCTAATATATCTCTTTTTATAGAGACAATTTACTGTTTAAGACACTAAGACTTTAGCCAACAACAGAAGGCATTTATCCTTGTAGTAAATCTAATAGCGTAGTTCATGTCTCACATATATATTCAACTGCATATTCAGTAACTTCTTCCTAACTAGTACATGTTGTGTTGCTATCAACAGGTTTGTATCTCAAGCCAACTTTTGGGGTGCTGCTATAACTCGATCTGTATCTCAAACGCCAATCTTCTTAATTAGTCATCTATTACATACTTCTGTCCTTGCAAGATTTACAATAATCCCAGTACCCCAATTCAACTATCTTCTTACCTAGATTCTTAATCGGTCACTCTCTTATTTCTAGCCAGCAACCTAGATAGGTTGGTCTGCTTAGGCTTTAGGTGCCTGAAAGATGCCCTCCTTTTGATTCATACTTTCAAAGTGTACCTTTTTCCTTTGGTGATAATAGTAAATATTATATTTGATCAATTTGACTAGTTTGACTATAGTCAAATTGGTCAAATTAGTCAAATTAATTAAATATTAATAATTTGATTAGTTAAATTATTTAATCAATTTAACTAGTTTGATTATAGTCAAATGGTTAAACTGATCAACCTAGTTAAATATTAATAATTTAAATTTATTTATTAAATTTTTGTAAATTAAAATCTTTAATTTGATTGGCTAGATCATTTGACCAATTTGATTAGACCACTTGATCAATTTAACCAGACCAGATTGATTAATGAATTTTTAGTTGATTACCAACTCTAACTATATTGTATAAGAGAAATAATATAGTAATTGACTAATTTTTGTAAATCATCTTGTAATATTATAAAAATTTTAATAATTAATTAAAAATTAGTAAAAATATTAAAAATAAAGTAAATAATTTCTATTTTTAATAATAATTATTTAACAAATATAGTAATATTGATTTTTATATATTTTTACTATTTAATTTATTCAAGTTATCTCTTAAATTTGTATTGTAGACAAATTTGCTTGCAAATTTTTAAAATTTTAAATATTAATTTTGACAAAAATACAATAAAGACCCATTGCTATACAACCTTTATCCCTTAAATTGTTTTGCAGCCAAATTTGCCTGCAAACTTTTTTAAATTTTAAATTTTTTCAATAAAATTTTAA